ACCCATGAGCCCCTGGGGGACTGGCGCTACTCATACATGCAGTGAGCCTCGCCAGGCACGTCCACCACCTGCTGCTGTCCGTCCAGACCGATGGCCTCACCACACGGAACCCCCCCCCCCACGCTTGCTCGTCACACGCAGCCCCTCGTGGAGTTTGTTACACATCCTGCCACCAGCTCCTGTTCAGGATGGGTTTGAGGCCATGCTGGGTGGAACGGGGCCACTCATTCTCCCCTTCCGCCACCGTGGTGCCCGGCCCTTCCCCACCTGTCTCCTTCCCTCACCTACACTGGGCCCAGTGGTTCTGGGACCTGGGAGTGGGGAGGGACCGTCCTCAGGACCCTGCCGGGCCTCAGCAGCCCACAGAGGCCCCTCTGGGTGTCCCCAGTGAGGTGTGACCCTGTGCTGCAGGACACAGGTGGCGTCAGCCGGCCTGCCCACCCACCGCTGGGCAGAGCCCTCCCAGCCAAGGGTGCCCCGCCAGCCATATGCCTTAGACCCACGTGCCTTCCCACAGGGGGCCTGCCCTCCTCCAGAGCCCTGCCATGCCCCACTGCCTGCCCAGGGTGCCACTGGGCTGTCCTTCCTTGCCGCCTGAGACTCTGGAAAGCTCTGGGGGACGCCATCCTGTTGGAATTGCCTCTTAGCTCTTCGGGCCCCGCCTCCCAGAGCCCATCCCAGGACTTCAGCCTGGGCTTCCCCTCTGCTCTAGACTGACGCATGGCCAGTGCGGTCCTCCCTGCCCAGCACCGACCAGTCCTTCAGCGGTTTTTTTCTTTGGATATGGCCGGTCCAGTGGTGCCCAGGGACTAGCTCCTCCCGCCTGGCTTCTGGATGGTCAGGGGTCTCCACAGCGTGACCTTTGAGGGTGGTTTTTAGGGGACTGAGAATTCTGGGCTCCCCTCAAGGACAAATGCATGGGGCCTCCGCAGAGCTGTTGTGCCTTCCTCCCATGTCCCCACTTCTCACCGTAGCCCACAGTTGGGCAGGGCCAGTGTTGCCTGGGCCTGCACAGGCTGGGCTTCCTTCTGCCCTGGGGGGCTGGGGGGCTGGGGTGCAGGCTAGAGGTGCCGGTACTACTGACTGTACACTGTGAGGTGGCAGTGGGGGACGCCCAGTGCCACCCAATAAAAGGTCTATCACTTGATTCAAGCCGTGGTCTTCCTAGAGGAGAGAGGTGGGGCGGGGTGGGGCTGCTGGCTGCATTCCCTCCAGGCCTGCCTGATAGCTTTGCCCCTGTGTTGTCAGTTGGTGGGCACAGTGCCCTCTGCAGGATGGGAAAGGGGTTGCACCCGGGGAAGTGGCAGACCCCCCCCCCCCCCCCACCCCGGCCAGGGAGCCAAATGTCAGGTCATCTTAGAGCTCTGTCTTATCATTTATAAACGAGAACAATTCCTGCACATGTGCACGCACACAGCAAAGTGAGTTAATATTGCTCATTTACCCATTGTAATAGCCCTTATCACATTAATTGTGTGTTCGTTCGGCTGGACTCCAGTGCCCTGGTATTTGCTCAAACATTCTAGACCATTCTAAGGTGGTGAAGGCTTGAATAGGAAGAATGAGCTCCCTTGTGTAGGAAGGTGTGTCTGTATGTCTGTGTGTCTGGGAAACGGAACCCCAGACTTCACATATGCGAGGCAAGCACTCTGCCGTGAGCACACCCTCAGCCTTCATGCAGGCCTGCTGGTGACTGAGGGCTGCTGTTCTGTATCTGTGGCAGGGCTAATGGAAGCCGGGGAGTAGGTAACCCAAGATCGCACAGCTAGTTAAGTAGGAAGGTGTTTTGTTTTGTCGGTCGTGGGGCTTGAACTCTGGGCCTAGGCGCTGTCCCTCAGCTCTTCAGCTCAAGGTGAGTGCTCTACCACTTTAGTCACAGCTCCACTTCTGGTTTTCTGGTGGTTAATTGGAGATAAGAGTCTCACAGACTTTTCTGCCCGGGCTGGCTCTGGACCGCAATCCTCAGATCTCAGGCTCAGAGTAGCAAGGGTGACGGCGTGAGCCCCGGTGCCCAGCTCTAGGAAGGTGGGTTTCAACCTTGGTCTGAGTGCTGCAGGCTGTGCCCCTTTGCTCTCTGCTGCCAGGACCCTGACCTCAAGTCCCTCTGCCCCTACCATTTAACTGTGGACACTTCTGCTTCAAAGCTGTCTGTCTCTGTTCCTTCTGCCACCCCCTAGACACCAGAGTGTCCCCTGTCCTGCTGAGCACCTGAGACATCTTTGCATAGTCACCAGAGCCAAGTCCCTGTGCCTGAAATGCCCATGGAGCCCCTTCATTTTCCTGCTGTGGGCAGGGACACAGACACAGCCTTGGGCCTAGAACTTGGACCATTTGCGTGTGGCCGGACGTCCCTGCTGCCGCTGGACCTGGGCTGTCAAGTCAAGCATGCTCTCTAAGGAAATGAGGGGGTCACTAGGCAACTGGAGCTTCAGTGGAGGTCAGGGCAGAGGTCGGAGGACCCAGCTGGACAAACTCACCTTCATATATATATATATATGATCATACTGCTTGCATTAGCTCACCCGCTCCTGTATCTGCCTGGAGGCCTGCCTAGACTTGGGCACAGGCACTGTGCATGCCACACTGTGTGCATACACACTGTGTATCCAGTGAGACCCATTTCACAGAGGGGGACAGGGAGGCCCTGCAGGGTTGACTAGGCCACCCCTAGGTGTTCATGGAGCCAGTGGCTATGGTCTTCTTAGGTGCCACTCCAGATGGATCCTGCAGGGACCCCAGTCCACAGGAGCCTCGTGACTGTGGCTTGGGGCTCAAGAAGCAGGAAAGACTGGGCTGGCGAGGGAGGATGAGGGAGCAGGGCCTGGCTGGGGGACCAGGATCTAGGCGAGGACTGCACCCTGGCTCTCAGCTGCCAGCAGGGAGCAGGGGGGGGGAGGGGAGGGGGAGGGGATGGAGAACTGGGCCTCGGAGATTGGGCAGTCAGCCTGGGGCTGACGGAGAATTCAGGAAGGAGGTGGTGAGGGTCTGAGCTTGGGATGTAGCTTATCTAGCATCCTTCAGGATAATGTCAGGACATTTTTTTTGGGCCTGAACTCTGGGCCTGGGCACTGTCCCTCAGCTCTTCAGCTCAAGGCTAGCGCTCTACCACTTGAGCCACAGTGCCACTTCCGGCTTTTGTTTTTTTTTTTTTTTTTGCTTATGTGGTGCTGAGGAATCGAACCCAGGGCCTCATGCATTGCAAGGCAAGCGCTCTACCACTGAGCCACCTTCCCAGCCCCATGTCAAGACATGTTATGACAGAGGAAGGTATTTCATGCCAGCCAGGGAGCTGGAGGTAACCCTGTTCGTGGGACAATTGAAACTTTTTCTATTATTATTTTGGCTCTGGTACGAGAGCTTGAACTCAGGGCCTCTTGTTCTCACTTGGCTTTTTTTTTTTTTTTAAACTCAAGGCTGGTATGCTATCACTTGAGCCATACCTTCACTTCTGGCTTTTTGCTGGTTAATTGGAGAAGAGTCTCCTGGACTTTCCTGCCTGGGCTGGCTTTGAACCACGATCCTCAGATCTCAGCCTCTTGAGTAGCTAAGGTTATAGGTGTGAACCACTGGAGCCTGGTACGAGGGTCCATCTTGAACTTGACACACCTCTTCTCTGTGGTCTGCTATGGAGTGTGGTATTACTGCACCAAGCCCACGAGGCTGGAGTTATCATCAGTGGAGAAGACACGGTTTCAGAGAGGTGGGATCCCTCGCGTGGTCACACAGCAGAGCCCATGTGACCTGCAAGTGGGGCCGAGTCTTGAGGCTGGAGGTTCAGGTGCCTCCAGGGTGCCAGACATGCCTCAGCAGGAACTGAAGCTGGACACGTGCGTCAAGGACCACACGGCAAAGAAGGTCTTGATGGCAGGGCCTCTGGACCACTGGGCAGGGATGGGGGGTGGTCTTGAGACTTCTGCCACCTCGTTATCCTTGCAGCCCCTTCCCCAAGCCCGGCCCCTGGGCCACACTGCAATCTTCAGGTCTCAGCCTCCTGAGTAGCTAGGATTACAGGTGTGAGCCACCGGTGCCCAGATCAGGTGTTAAGATGGCAACCTTCTGTTTTGTCATGCCCCTGCTTGGTGGTGAGACTGAGGGACCAGAGCTGAGTGCTCTCCTCCCGTCCTCACCCACCAGAGAGTGTCCTGTATCGTTTTTGTGGGCTTTCGTTTTCTTTTTCGTGTGTGTGTGTGTGTTGTGTGTCCTGAGAGTCTGGGCACTGTCTCTGGGAATTTGTGCTCAAGGCATCTGCACTCTACCCACTTGAGCCAAGGCTCCATTCCCAGCTTTTTGGTGATTAATTGGAGATCAGCGTCTCATGACTTTCCTGCCCGGGCTGGCTTTGAACCTTGATCCTCTGATGTCAACCTCCCCGAGTAGCTAGGATGACTGTCTTGTCCTGTGTAGTTTTGATGCCTGCTCTGCTAGCTGTGCAATGTAGACTGAGCTCCTGATCTTCCCAGTTACTCCATTTTCTCCTCTGGGGAATGGGCTTAGTGGTTGTCTCCAGTCCTGGGAGCCTCAGGAGATGATGGATGGCCAATGCTGTGGTGACACTTGATTCTGGGTGATGGTGGCTTTTGCTTAATGAATGCCCTGTGGGCCTGGTGCTGTATGTACATTACCCTGTACCAGGGGCCAACTTGGTCAGGCTCTATAGTCTGGGGTCTTCTACCACCTTGCTTTGACCCCTGGCAAGTCCTGTGTGGCTCTCTTCTGCAATGTTAAACGCGAGGGCGGTGGAGCCCATTCCTGGCTCCGTGCGGAGGCTGGGCATGGCCTCATCACTGAATCGCTCTCTCCCCGGACCCCACTGGGCCCTCACAATGAATCATCCTGGTTCCGGCCTCCTTTCCTGCCCCCAGAACCCTCAAAGCTCCTCACCTGTCCTGGGTGCCCCGCGGCCAGTGGCAGGGCTGTCACTATGTAAATGTCTGTGCAAATGGCCTGGTGTGGAGCGCTCCGGTGAGCCCAGGCTCTCCTGATGCTGCCAGTGCACAGCCATGCGGCTCCAAGTAAGGAGGCTGTGTCTGCTGCTCTTCCTGCTGTGGGTCCCGGGGGAGCCGATGGAGAACTCAGACTTCTACCTGGCCGGGGACTTCCTCCTGGGTGGACTCTTCACCCTCCACGCCAACATGAAGAGCACTTCCCCTGTTGACAACCTGCAGGTGCCCACCTGCAGGAAGTGAGTCTGTGTGTGGGCATGGGGGGGGCGCTGCAGCCCGTGTGGTGGTCCCCAGGAGGCCAGGCCCAGGATGCATGCACTTCACCCCTCATCACTCCCCTAATCCTGAACCAGCCTGCTGGCCCCCAGGGGTTCTCACAGAATCAAGCGTGTTGAAATCCCTAGTGGTGGTGGTCCACAACGCCAAGACCTGGGCCAGCCTGGTGCCACATCTCCCAGGAGAGAGGGGTCTTAGAGACCATCGAACCCCATTCCCCGTATCCCTTCCAGGAACTGGGGGACTCCCAGTGAGCTCTTGTCAAGGCCAGTCTAGGCTCTAGGCCGAGCCTTTGGGAAGGCCGGATGTGGTTCTCTGAAGCAGGTTCTGGAGAGGAGCTCTGCATTCTCCAAGGACTTGGTTGGGTGGGTAGGGGGCGATTCTGGGATTATAGGGACTCCCTTTCCCACCCCTCCCTCAGTATCACTTGGAGATGGAGTGGCTCATCTTCTTGCAATTGTGAAGACTGAGTCCCCCAGAGCCAACCTGGGATTAGCAAATAGTGACCTTATTCAGAGGAGGTAGAGCACTGGGGGCGGGGAGGGGCAGGAAAGTGAGAGTAAAAGATGACTAAGGGTTGACTAGGGTGTGGGTGGCGGTGCCAGTAATGGCGCCAGGCCTGGTGTTGGCTTTTCTGATGCCCGTGATGATGATGGTCCTGCTGTGGCAGAAATAGCAATGTAGATAGTCTTGATGTCAGTAATGATGGTGATAATAAAATGGCTAAAAGTATGCTGGTGATGGTGATAATGACGTTGGTAACGGTGGTGGATGGTTTTTAGTGATTTAGTGTTAGTGGTAATGGTGGCAAGGGGGTGTTGATGGTAATAGTGCTGATAATAGTGGTGATGGTGACAGATGTAGTGGTGATGGTGGTGGGAGCAGTGATATTGGTGATAGGGAAGATAGTGGTGAAGGTGGTTGTGGTGACAAGGGCGATGTTGGTGTTAGGACTAACGGCTGATGATGGTAGTGGGGAGAACAGTGGTGATGGAGGTCACTGTGGGTGGTGGTCATGGGCAGACATCAGTGTGGTGGATGATGGAGGTCACTGTGGGTGGTGGTGGTCATAGGCAGACATCAGTGTGGTGGATGACGGAGGTCATTGTGGGCGGTGGTGGTCATGGGCAGACATCAGTGTGGTGGATGATGGAGGTCATTGTGGGTAGTGATGGTCATGGGCAGACATCAGTGTGGTGGATGATGGAGGTCACAGTGAGTGGTGGTGGTCATGGGCAGACATCAGTGTGGTGGATGATGGAGGTCACTGTGGGTGGTGGTGGTCATAGGCAGACATCAGTGTGGTGGATGATGGAGGTCACTGTGGGTGGTGGTACTCATGGGCAGACATCAGTGTGATGGATGATTGAGGTCACTGTGGGTGGTGGTGGTCATAGGCAGACATCAGTGTGGTGGATGATGGAGGTCACTGTGGGTGGTGGTGGTTATAGGCAGACATCAGTGTGGTGGATGATGGAGGTCACTGTGGGTGGTGGTACTCATGGGCAGACATCAGTGTGGTGGATGATGGAGGTCACTGTGGATGGTGGTCATGGGCAGACATCAGTGTGATGGATGATGGAGGTCATTGTGAGTGGTGGTTGTGATGAGCAGACATCAGTGTGGTGGATGATAGAGGACACTGTGGGTGGTGGTCATGGGCAGACATCAGTGTGGTGGATGATAGAGGACACTGTGGGTGGTGATGGGCAGACATCAGTGTGGTGGATGATAGCGGTCTTGTGTTCGTGGGCAGCCATCAGTGTGGTGGATGATGGAGGTCACTGTGGGTGGTGGTGGTCATGGGCAGCCATCAGTGTGGTGGATGATGGAGGTCACTGTGGGTGGTGGTGGTCATAGGCAGACATCAGTGTGGTGGATGATGGATGCCATTGTGGGTGGTGGTGGTCATGGGCAGCCATCAGTGTGGTGGATGATGGAGGTCACTGTGGGTGGTGGTGGTCATGGGCAGCCATCAGTGTGATGGATGATGGAGGTCATTGTGGGTGGTGGTCATAGGCAGCCATCAGTGTGGTGGATGATGGAGGCCATTGTGAGTGGTGGTGGTCATAGGCAGACATCAGTGTGGTGGATGATGGAGGCCATTATGGATGGTGGTGGTCATGGGCAGACATCAGTGTGGTGGATAATGGAGGTCACTATGGGTGGTGGTGGTCACGGGCAGACAGCATTAGAGATCACAGGATATAGTGATCTCAGTGTCAATGTGGTCACACAAACAGTGAGTCTAGAGGTGTAGTACAGTGAAAGAATCTGGTGAAGGTGCTAGAATCTTCTTGATGGCCTTCCTGTGTCAGGAAGGAGGGCCGTGGGCTCTCCCCTCCCCACTGGTCCTCACTGTGGCCCTGCCCCGGTCCTGGCTTTGGCTCATCCAGGTTTACTATGAAGGTGGTGGGCTACAACCTCATGCAGGCCATGCGCTTTGCGGTGGAGGAGATCAACAACCTCAGCAGCCTGCTGCCCGGTGTGCGGCTGGGCTACGAGATCGTGGACATCTGCTACATGTTCAACAACATCCAGCCTGTGCTCTACCTGCTGGCCCAGGAGGACTACTTCCTGCCCATCCTCAAGAACTATGACCGCTACGTCCCGCGGGTGGTGGCCATCATCGGCCCCGACAACTCTGAGGCTGCCAAGACAGTGGCTAACTTCCTCTCCATGCTTCTCCTTCCACACGTGAGACACTGGGTCCCGGAGGAAGGGGCGGGGCATGAGGCAGGCAGGGGACTCTGAGCACCCCCCCCAACCATGAGGGTGCTGGGAGGGACACACAGGGACTCGGGATATTTTATGCCTCTCAGCCACTGTGAAGCCTCTGACAAGTCTCTTAACGCTTCTGAGCCTCAGTTTCCCCACCCATAAAGCAGGATGATGAGGGAATCCATCCCAGACTGTCTGCAGATGGATGAGTTTCCAGCACACAGTAGGTGGTCCATGACGTAGCATCCTGCATGTGAATGGTAACTAGGAAAGGCCCCGTGTTCCTGTGTTCAGTTGTCCTGCCCAGGTCTGCCTCATAGGATGTCCTCAAAGAATATTCTGGTAGCATGGCTATTGTGGTTGTAATTATGATCATCATCGTGACTGCACGGGCCTAGTCCCATGGAGTGTATTCATTTAAAGAGCAGCCAGCATATAAGACCCGGCACACAGTTGGCTGCTACAATAACTGAACGTGTTGCTGAGGGATTCAGTGTAGGGACTGACACACAGTAGGTGCTCAGCATGTGTTACAATTTTCTAAGTATATGTTTGCTAGTAATGGGGTTTAAACTCAGGGCAGGACGCTGTTCCTTAGCTTTTTTTGTTCACGTTGGCCTTCTCCCACTTGAGCCACAGCTTTACTTTTGTTTTTTTTAGTTGTTGATTAGAGATAAGAGTTTCACAGATTTTTCTGCTTGGGTTGGCTCTGAAGTATGATCCTTCGATCCCAGCCACATGAGTAGCTAGGATTACACCAGTACCTGATTTTTTTTTTTGCCGGTCGTGGGGGTTGAACTCTGGGCTTGGGCGCTGTGCCTCAGCTCTTCAGCTCAAGGCGAGCACTCTACCACTGAGCCACAGCGCCACTTCCAGTTTTCTGGTGGTTTGTTGGAGGTAAGAGTCTCACAGAGGGCTGGGAAGGTGGCTCAGTGGTAGAGCACTTGCCTTGCATGCATGAGGCCCTGGGTTCGATTCCTCAGCACCACATAAGCAGAAAAAAAAAGTCAGAAGTGGCGCTGTGGCTCAAGTGGTAGAGCGCTAGCCTTGAGCTGAAGAGCTGAGGGACAGCGCCCAGGCCCAGAGTTCAGGCCCACAACCGGAACCCCCCCCCCCACAATAAAAAGAGTCTCATGGAGTTTCCTGCCTGGGCTGGCTTTGATCCATTATCCTCAGATTTCAGCCTCCTGAGTAGCTAGGATTACAGGCGTGAACCACCAGCGCCCGGCACCTGACTTAATATTTTTATGTGAAACATCTAGCCAAGGGGCTGGATTCATGCTTTCATGCAAGTAATGAAATGTCTTAAGCATCTCTCGTGTTGTGCCAGGAAGTATTGCAGGTGCGGTGGATACAACTGGGAACCAGTGTAGGGAGAGACAGACATTGAATGCAAATAAATAATGGTACGTTAGAAGTCAATGGCTTCCAGGGCAATGTGGAGTGGGGCAGGGGGTCAGGCATGTTGGGGCAGGAGATTGTGACTGTTCATGGGCTAGTTAGGTAGGCTTTCTGGCAACTGGACAAAGACTGAAAAGCGGGTGAGGGAGTAAGGGAGCTGTGTGGGCATCTAGGAGGGGAACCTGACAAAAAGAAGTGTTCGGCAAGTGCAAAGCACTGGATGTACTTAGGACTAGTGGGTGGGACCTGGTGGGGGTGGGGTGGGATGGGGAGGGAGCAGGAGGAGAGGAAATTGGAGAGTAAGGTCTCTGGGCGCATGGTGGAGCCCCCTGGGGGCCACCGAAGAACTTTTTCGTTGTTGGTAAATTCTGCTTAGAGGAGTTGTGGAAGCAGACAGGAATGTGGATACCCAGCGTCAGGTTGGCAGCCATCAGCCGACTGTGGGGTCGGGGAGGTGGAGGACAGGGTCACCTGCCAGGCCAGGGGTAGTGGTGGCTGGGCTAGGGCAGGGTGAGGAGGTGGTTTGTCCAGAGGGGCATAGGCTGAAGCCCAGTCCACCTGAGGATGAGGGAATGTGGCAGGGGTGATTTAATGGTCAAGTGTTTGGGCCTGAGGAACAGGAAGACTGGATTGACTATCAATCAGATGGTCAGGTGAGGGGGAGAAGAGGTTTAGTGACAGTGGGAGTTGATTTGGAGAGGTGAGGCAGGCAGTCTGAAATTTAGGAGAGAGATCTGGGCTAGGGCTGAACAAGGGTTTGCTGGCCAGAAATGCTACTTAAAGTAGGAACTTGGCATGGCCAAAGGAAGGAGGGTTGAGGGAAGAGAATCAAGGCTGGGGTACAATGTCCTGGGGTCTTCCATCTGAAGAGGTAGAACAACCAGAGAGTGGGGAAGAGAGTGGAGCCTGGGAGGCTGAAGGAAGAGATGAGGCTGCTTCAATGCGGATGTGGGGAGGGGGAAAAGCCACCATGTTCAGGGACATCTAGTAGGTGCTCAATAAGTAAGACATGGAAGGTGGGCAATGGTGGATCACGCCTGTAATCCTAGCTCCTCAGGAGGCTGCGATCTGAGGACAGAGGTTCAAAGTCAGCTTGGGTGGAAAGTCTGTGAGACTTACTGCCAACTAACCACCAAAACAACCTGGAAGTAGAGCTATGGCTCAAGTGGTAGAGTGCCAGGCTTGGAGCAAAAAAAGCTAAGAAAGAGCTCAAGGCGCTGAATGAAAGCCCTAGTTCTGGCATAAAAAAGGAAGGAAGGGAGAGGGAAGGAAGGAAGGGAGGGAGGGAGGGAGGGAAGAAAGGAAGGAAGGAAGGAAGGAAGGAAGACAAGAAGGCAGGCAGGCAGGCAAGGCAAGAAAGACTAAGCTAAACTCTTGGCTGGACAGTACATAGGAAGTTGCTACAAGGAGGGTGGGGATGTGTTCCCTTAGCCTGGGTTCGACTGTCCACGTCCCCAAGGTATCCCCGCCCCCCCCACAGTAGGTAGCATCCCATCCCTCCCCTTTCCCTCCCCTCCCCTTCCCTACCCCTGCCCCTCCCCTTCCTCTCTCCTGTCCCTGTCCCTCCTCTTCCCCTTCCCTTCCTCTGCCCCGCCACGCCCCTCCTCTCCTTCCCTGCCCCTCCCCTGCCCCTGGGGCGCGGCCCTCAGCACCCCCCCCCCCCCCCGCAGGTCAGCTACAGCGCCATCACGGAGGAGCTGCGGGACAAGACGCGCTACCCGGCCACGCTGCGCTCGATCCCCAGCGCCACGCACCACATCGAGGCCATGGTGCAGCTGATGCTCCACTTCCGCTGGAACTGGATCGTGGTGCTGACAAGCAACGACGACTACGGGCGCGAGAACAGCCAGCTGCTGACCCAGCGGCTGGCCCGCGGCGGCGACATCTGCGTGGCCTTCCAGGAGGTGCTGCCCGCGCCCGCGTGCGCGCCGCGGCTGGACGCCGTCCTGGACAAGCTGCGGCGGTCCACGGCGCGCGTGGTGGTGGTCTTCTCGCCCGAGGTGGCCCTGCACGACTTCTTCCGGGCCGTGCTGCGCGCCCGCCTCACCGGGGCCGTGTGGATCGCCTCCGAGTCCTGGGCCATCGACCCGGAGCTGCACGGCCTGGACGGCCTGCGCCGCTGCGGCACCTTCCTGGGCGTCACCATCCGCGGCGTGCCGGTGCCGGGCTT